ATATAATAGCTAAGATAATTATACTAAAAATTTCTATTGGGTTGTTGAAAGGAACAGTTAATGCTTAACTGCTTTATTGATTTTTCATGCCTATATCTGGTAATCTGAACAACCCAAATATTCATAATGGAAGTAAAATTATCTTGGAATAAATGAAAGCAGGACTCTGGGTACCCTGGCACCACACAAAAGGAGATATTTGCCCCTGATGCAACCAAAGTTTGATCCTTTGTGATTTTATTTGTAAATTGTTTCAATTATTTTATTTATTTATTTATTTTATTGAGAAACAATAGCAATGAGACAGTTTCAAAACCAATTAGGACAGTTTCAATAATTAATGCATTGCATAGTGTTGTCTTCGTAGTGGTTATTATTTATTTTCTAAAGAGACTATAAAATAGTTTTTAAAAAACACATTAGAAACAATATAGAACTCCATAAAACAATAGGAATTCAACGATGGTCGCTGAATTGCATAATGTTATCTTCAAATTAGTTGTTCTGATTACCAGATATAAGCATGCAAAATTGACTTAAAAAAAAAAACTTACAAGGAGTTAAAAGGACAAGGAAAAAAAATTTAAGCATCAACAGCTCTTCTCTGTAGACCAGCAGAAATCAGGAATAAAATTATCCAAGCCATCCTGCATACATACGCAAATATATCTCCTCCATCCTGCCTTTTTCCTCATGGCAATTTTTTGTTTCCTTTGGAGAGATTCATTCCCTTTCACAGAATCTATTATACTTTTCAGATTTTATTTACTCTTTCAGGTTCTTGCACTAGCAAGACAATAAAATGTTACACATGAAGATCTGACTTATTTCACTTATGAATAGGGTCTCTAATTGCATCCACTTATCTATAAAAGCATCAGATTTGTCTTTTTTTTAATAGCTGAGTAACACTCCATTGTGTAAAAATACCACATCTTTTTTATCCATTTCTCTGTTGATGGGCATTTTGGGTATTCCTAGGATTCAGCCAGAACAAATCACGCTGCTATAAACATGGGTGCATACATATCATGGTGGTATGATGTTTTTAGTTCATTTGGAAACACACCCAGGAGGAGGAGAATAGCTGGGTTGAATGGGACCTCCAATCCTAGCTTTTTGAGGAATCTCCACACTGATTTCCATAGTGGTTGTACCAATGTACAATCTCACCAACAGTGGAGAAGAGTTCCTTTTACCCCACAGTCTCTATAGTACTTCTTACCGGCTGACTTCTTGACAATGGTCATCTTTCTGTGGTGAGAATGAATCTCAGCGTTGTTTTAATTTGCATTTCTCAAATGATCAATGATGTGGAACATTTTTCATATATTTATTTGCCATTGCATTTCTTCATTTGAGAAGTGTATATTCATCTCAGATTCCCATTTTTGGATTGGGTCTCTGAATTTTGGGGTCCTCATTTTTAAAAATTCTTTATATGCTCTACATACAAGTCCTTTGTCTGAGGGACAGTTGGCTATAATTTTTCCCAACAACAGTCTCAATCATTTGTCCCACTGGGTACAAACACTTTACATATCTTGCCCAGTTATTAATGGTACTTTTTGTTATGCCATTGTTTTAAAATTTATGTAATCAAATTCCTTCCAGCTTGAGAGATTCAAATATTTATTAAAATCTTTTTTCAATTTGTATGCTTTTCAAAACGAATGTTTTAACATAGTTGATTGTTTTAGCCAGTGGGAATTTATATTATAGGTAGTGGCTTGGATATAAACTCTTTATTCAAGTGTTTTTCTTGAAATGCTAATCTGTAATAACAGGAGATAAAAAATCATCTTACCAATTATGTTTGTACCTTTTATAATGATAAATAATAAATAGGATTTATTTCAAGGCACTTTAGTTTCTTCTATACTAGTTCTATCATACTATTCTAGTCAACAATGCCTATTTTTGAAATACACACATTATTTTAATAACTTTCTCTTTCTATTTTATTACAATTTATTCTAGCACAATATTCAATTTTCCTCAATTGTATATTTTTGAGAATAAAATAATAATATAGTCAATGAGGTAGGAAAAATAGTAATTTCCTGGGATTATACTGACAATTTGGAATTGATGTTTTTTTAGTTTCTCAAGGATTATGTCATATTTTTATATTTATGTGAATATTTAGTACCTAAACTATATTTTCTTCCCAAATGTCCAAATATGTTTTAATTTTATTAGTTTTAATTGTTTAATTCTAGTTATTAAATGACTTAGCTTATTTTAGCTAGATGACTTTGGCAACCCTGTAAAGTCTATCCCTCTAGTATTGCTCTCTAAGATGACTGAAACATGTTATAATTTGGGTAACTATGGCTGGTAACCTAGTATTTTGTTCCTCAAAAATTTAAAAAGAATGAGCACTTGCCTGG